ATGTCATAAAAATAAGTAAAGCTAAAGGTACCCCTGCCCGTACGGGCCAGTCGTGACCGACTCTGGGGTTCCGTGCTCATCTCACTTAAGAGGCCTGGAGCCAGCGCTGTCCGAAGACACTTCCGGGTCACGTGGCCAGCGTGACGAAGCTGCTCTGGCGAGCCAGCACCAGCACAGCACATGGAAATGCTGTTTACCTTCCCGCTATAAAGTGGTCCCTATTTATCTACTTGCACTTAAGGGTGCTTTTGAACTGCTAGGTGGGCGGGAGCTGGGACCGAATGGCGGGAGCTCACCCTGCCGCGGGGATTCGAACCGCCGACCATACGACCGGCAAGTCCTAGGCACTGAGGTTTTACCCACAGCGCCACCCGCGTCCCCTTGTCATAAAAATAGACCTGGTTTTATCAATGGAACTCTGACATTTTGTAAAGCTATTTTATAAACTACCCAAATTATGCATAAAACCTGAGTAACTGATTTCATTACAGTGAAATTGTCAAGATTTCCCACAGCCATTTGCTTTTGCCAGAAAGAAAATAACATACCTACTGTTTTCCCGCATCTTTGTCGAGAAATGTTTTCTATTGTTACAGCACTGGCCAAATTTGTTAGTTTTTATGCCATTAATGTTTTGTTGTTGAACTTTCTGTGTTGCTAGCTGCTATGTGCTTATGCATTCTCCATTAGAAGGGCTAATTCTGGGCCAAACTACTTGTTACATTAAAAAGTGTACTTAACCAACATACTTTCTTTTAAAGAAACACAGCAGCTGTAATTCAAGTTCCTGATTATTATTATTACTATTATTGCGAGCCCACATGCTAAACCCTGTCCCCGGAGCCCACCACCCAGAAATGAGACATGACAACAATGTGTGGGATTAACATTGGGCCACAACTTTATTGAATAAAAGTTGATCTTTTATATTTATATGTAATTTTAATTCCATAAAACTTTATTTTTTATTGTTAAGTATACAACTGACAATAAAAAATAGTTATATGGAATTAAAACTACATATAAATATAAATTATAAATGAGCATACTTTTAACATTTCCATGTAATTTATTCTTCATGCTATCTGAGTGGTTGGAAAAAACAGTTAGGACTTGCAACTGATATGGTATAGTTGCTTCCCATGCCAATACCCATGGCCTCCTGGGAAGCATGTGTGGGATAAAGGTAAAGGGACCCCTGACCATTAGGTCCAGTGCCTATGTTTTACTTTTGTGATTTTAAATCTTTGCTAGGGTTCTTTCACCAAAGAGTACTTGCCTCAAACTTGGATCCTAGCATCAAATCCAGGGAATTCTCCTTTTATACCTATTTTTCCCTTGCCACCAACAGCATGTTGGTATGAGAAGTAACTGTGTATGTTGCCCAGATCATCAGGGCATCCCCCAGATGTTTGCCAGCGCAGTGAGAGAAGCAAACTTGTAGAATCAGCTTTAATATCTGGGTCTCCCTGGGTCTCCCTGTGCAGGACCTGTTGTAGTTGGTACCACAACTGAAGGTGGCAATGGGCACAACTGAATCCCACTGACGTTACCTGGCTTCTGATACCGTAATTGATTTAGGAGCACAATTGCCATTCCGCAGAAATTCTGTACCTGCTCCTTCAGAAGGAATGAAATCCCATCCAGAGCTGATTTTAAAAAACCAATTCCTGGTGCTGGGAACTATCCATCCATTCATCCATAGGGTATCTGTCTTGCTAGAATTAATTTGTAGTCATCCAGTTGGTAGCCCTCATTCAGCCCATGACTTGTATCCAGGCACTGGATTAGGATATGAGCAGCTTGTCCTGATCCAGATGTCACAGAGAAATAGAGCTAGTTAAGATCAGCATAGTAGTGACACCTTGCCCAGCATGTCCTAGCAGCTTCATATAAATATTAAATAGCAATGAGAATAAAATTGTGCACCGTGGCATTCCACAGATAAGCTTCCAGAGGACTGAGACATGGGTATTCAATACAGCTCTCTGGAACTAACCCTTTAAGTAGGAATGGAACTGTAAAACTGTGTCTACATCTCATAGAGATGGTCCAGGAAGGCACCATGGTCAACACTATCAAAGCTTTCTGAGAGATTCAGTAGAGTCAGCAGACAAACATCCTCACTGTTCCTCTCCTGAAGGTTATCCTTCAGGGTAGCCAAGGAAATTCATTCCCAAGTTTGATCTGTATCTAGACTGGAATAGGTCAAGATATAAACATCTTGGAGACAGAGGTAGAGTCTTCTCCATTGTGGCACCCTGAACGTTGGAATTTGTTCCTCGCAGAGATGTAGTTGTCACTCTCATTGGCAGCTTTTTGCCACCAACCTTTCCTTCAGGCCTTTGGCAGTTGAACATTATTTGGAATGTAACAGTTGATATGGTGTTGCTACTGCAATGATATAATGTATGACTGTAATTTGCTGTTGCCCATGCATTAATACAGAGAAGTGTATTGTCCATAGAGGTGTTCTGGGATAGGTGATGTAGGTTTAGTGATCTGACCAGGTTAAGTAATAACTACAGAAATCTTCTAGGAAGAAGTCAAGCTTGCCTCATGTTCAACTAAAATGAAGATTTCTGCCATCCTCTCTGGAATCTGATATATTTCCTGAACATGGTTTCTGAAGTTCTAGGATGGTTATAAAATTGTGAGTCCTATAACTGTTGTGAAACAAATTATATTCTTTCACATTTTCTAATGTTTAAGTGGCAGTTTCATGAAGGGATAAAAAAAAATTACCTACTTTAAAGTGAGTGTGTTTGGATAACTCTCTGGTTAATAAATTCTACTACTGATCAGTATTCAGTACCACTATCTTCCCAACTTTTTAAAGAACTAGATTGGACTCAATGTGCTTTGACTTTTGCCCTTGCTTCCTGCATCTACTATCTCCAGTTCTTATAATGTCCATTTTTCTCTTCTGTCTTCATCTTTGCCTCCATTATTTTGAACTTTGCCTCTCTCCCTCTCACCCGCTCATGTCACTTACTTCCCACTTTTTAAATACTTTCACTTACATTGTTTCTTTCCTGTGCCATTCCCCCTTCTTTAAAATCTTATTTGACCTCTCAATCCTTTCAATTATCCAATATATTTTATACTCATGGTCTTAAAAGTTACAGGAGTGTATCTTACCTGCTAAGTCTACAGTCCTAAATCTTTCTCATGGAAGTGTTCCCTAGACTCCTTCAATCTGCTCCTGTCCTTTTCATTCTACTGAGAGCAGTCATGAAAAAAATCAGAAATGATCTTCCGGCTTCTAAATCTCAAGGTCTCTATACTACCCTTATTCACAAATTTAAGGTCCCTTTTACTTAAAAAATATTTAAGCAGGAAACAAGTCAATGAGGTAGTGGGACTGTTGGACAGAGTAAACGGTGTGCTAAAAGAAGGTTGCAGAAAAATAATTGTATATCCATTTCCATTAGAGTTGTAGGGAAGATACCAGTATCTGTATAGGCTTCTTTAGGGATTCTGAAGAACTGAGGCATAATTTCTGGCATAATTAAAAATTACAAAATCTCTAGTTCTGGAAGGCATGCTCCTTTATACAAAATTTGCAACTTCTCCTTAAAATTAGCCTCTGGTCTGTAGGATTGGAAAGTCAGTATAATGATTAAGAGAGAGGAGAATAGCTAGTATGGGGTGGGATCTAGGCTAGCTAGCTTAACATCTCTTTCAGGTATGCTGGTGAAAAAAGTTATGTAAGCAAGCGTATTGGGGATCAGCTCTTGCTTATGGTAAACTAGATTCAAGTAGGTAGCCGTGTTGGTCTGATGCAGTTGAAATAAATTAATAAATTAAAAAAATTGTCCAGTAGCACCTTACAGACCAACTAAGTTTGTTCTGGGTATAAGCTTTCGTGTGCACGCCTGGGTATCTGAAGAAGTTTGCATGCACACGAAAGCTTATACCCAGAACAAACTTAGTTGGTTTCTAAGGTGCTACTGGACAATTTTTTAATTTTTTAATTTATGGTAAACTGGTATAGCTTAAGCAAAATCCTGGCCCACTTCTAGAGTTCTTAGTGTGTCTAAAAGCATGCAAAAAGGAGTGACTGGTGATAGCCAAACCCTGCTTGTGGTTTGTTTCTCTTCAAACAAACCACAATTGGTAGTCAAGTTTTGTTTGTGGAGAACCATGAGCTTGGGGTTGGGCATCACAACAAGCCAGACTCATGTCTTGTTTTTCAGTGGTGTGGCAGCAGTAGGAGCAGAGGAGGAAAGCAAAGAGAACTGTGTGCACACCATAGGTTCACATTAAATGATAGTTTCTTTTAAACTATAGTTTAATGTGATGTGCAAAGTGGGCTTGTGCATTTTATTTCTCATTTCTTTGCTGAGTATTCCTTTCAAAAACAAACAGTTTTCTTATAACAAACTGAGTAGGAGGTCTGTTTACATAAGTAAAAAGTGTTCCTATACAAACACCAACGCTTAACAGAATTTTTTTTAAAAAATACAGTAAAATAACTTCAGCTATTTCAAAGAGAGAGAAAAAATTAAGGACTCAGAACAGGAGTGTGAACTCACAATCTTGAAGAGAAAGCATAGCAAACCAGTTGTTCCTTAAGACTGTGCGGCGCTATAGCTTGGCGGAATATGTTCTCCTCTGTATTATTTGTCAAGAATTACTAATGAAGATGTATTTACAAAAATACTTTAAGTTATATGAATGTTAAGAGTTTGCATGATTCAGAAAATTTAGCTTCAGTAATAAGATTCGGTGATATGGAAATTAAGTTTATAATTATGAACGGACCAATGCTTAAAGTAACATGATTTTTATTTGAAGGTAATGTAATTAGATAATAAGTTTTAAACATAAAGTATACTTATTGGAAAGTACAAAGGAATGCATGAAACAAGGTAATAATTTGCTGATATCTTTATTGTAAAGAATGCAGGGTGAGGGAGATGTGGGGAAGTCCAGTTGGTTTTGAGAAAAATATCTTGGAAAGTTGGTTTCTTTTTTCTTCTGTTATCTTCTTTTTCTTTTTTTTTTCTTTTTCTATAACTTGTATCTGGAAAAACCAATAAAAATATTGTTAAAAAAAAAGAATTACTAATGAAGATGACCAACATATCAAGTGATAAGGTTTGTTCTCATTCACCATCTAGAATACATTAGAAAGCATAATAAAGGAAAAAAAATCACATCATACAGATGACCATGCAAAACTATGGTGGAAAATTTTACTACTTGATAAAATGATAGTAATCTGTATTGAGAAACTTACAGGATCTAAACTTTCAGTGACTAATCGGGATGCAAGAGGAATTTCCAAAGGGTACACTTTATGGCATGAAATAAAGATTTGGTGTAAACACTCCTTTTTTTATAGTCTCATGCTGACTGTTTGATAAATGACAGAATCTGTATTGTAGAGAATTAATGAAGAGACCAGTAGGCAGTGCCTCATGAGTCTGAAAAATGAACAGCATGTTAGCAGGAACATGAGATGAGAAGTTTTATATTAGGTGAAAAAATCTGTTAAGATGGCTGAATAAGAGAGGTCCATCAAAGCCATCACTATAGACCCAATTACATGGAGCATGATTTACTGTTTTTAGCTGTGATCTGATGCCCTCTTAAACAAAGCTGCAACAACTAATTTCAGAGGCGCTTGGCATTGGTTTAAACTACTGTGCTGAAAATTTCTGTGGCATACCCCCCCCCAACCATTTTCTCTCAATTAATGAGAAAATAGATTGTTTTCAAAAATTATGAAACAGAAGAAATGTTGGTGAAATTCTCATGATTGGGATGCAGAGCTTCTGTTGTACTTACTTTTGAGGTGGTCAGTGTTTGTTTTTGTTTTGTTTTTTGTGAGTATATATTGTTAGGAATGGGGCGGTGCAAATTCCCCATAAAGTGTACCAAATTCCTCCCATAATACCGCATTTACTCAAATGTAATGCACACCCTTTTTTTGGCCAAATTAGGTCGCAAAAAATCAGGGTGTGAATTAGATTCTATGGCACATTAGATTTGCTAGAGTTAATAATGGTAGGAGATTACCAAATGCTTGAAGTCTTCACCCAGTGTAAAAGTGCAGGCTGAATCAGCTTCCTGTCCAGGAATTGCCTAGGGGAGAAAAACCATCATATAGTACAAAGGAAGTTAATGGGTGATTGACACAGTTACTGTGTGATGGGCAGCAGAGGACTGTGAGGCTCTTCTCCCATGAAAGGATAGTGAGCTGAGACAAAGGCCAGGTTTAGGATTTCAGTGTAAGCTGGGAAGGGAATGGATGACAGGGGGCATGATGTCACACGAGGTGTGTGTCCTTTTAAAACAGAGGTTTGGAGGAAACAGTGGGACAACTCCATGCACACTGGCTAGGAGAGGCTGAACTGAGAGAGGCATGGCTGGCTTCTGCTCTGGACCCAAGCTTGCTGAAACTATGAGTGGAACAACAAGAGACACTATTGGGGTGTAATGTTCTGCATTCCCTCCACTTACACTCAGGTGTAAATATGTGTAAAGCAGGCATAGGTAAACTCGGCCTTCCAGATGTTTTGGGACTACAACTCCCATCATCCCTAACAGGACCAGTGGTCAGGGATGATGGGAATTGTAGTCCCAAAACATCTGGAAGGCCAAGTTTGCCTATGCCTGGTGTAAATAAACCAAATTTATTAAAGACACTACAGTCTCTGCCGTGTCTCATTCCAAAGGAACACAAACCATGGTTAAGTGTCAAGACCACTGGAATCTTGCTAGCACTCAGCAAAGATTGGGGTGGCCTGTAACAATATCATATGTGCTGGTCTGCATTCTTCAGTAAACCTTACCATGTTATCACCTGGGCTTTCCAGTAACCACAAGAAGCTGTGGGGCTGTCCATTTTGCTCCTGTCAGTAGAAGCTCAGTAGGTATCTTCTGTTTCAGCTTTTAAACACCTGATAAAAACTTTTCTATTCCATCAGAATTCTGCAGACAATTAAAACACATTGTTTGTTCCATAATAGTTAGCTGATTTCTGAGCATAACTTTTAAAATATGGTTTGGTTCAATATATAATTGTTGTCAATTGCTCTGGTTTCGTTTAATGAAAATCTGCATAGAAATATTTTTTTATAAATATATAAACTTGTGGGATGTGCTACAGACAAATGATTACTAATTCTGTACCAACACTATACATACACACCTTTGTGGATTTTCTGAGTTTTCTGTTTTGTTTTCTGATTTTTTTCTCTTTGTGACTGGTAAGTCAGTTCTGTGGAGAGAAAGCAAAATCATTTATTGGCGGATTGGCCAATTGTGTTAACTTCCTGCAATACCATGCTGTATTTTATTTTTAAAGTAGCTCAAGAATGCAGAAGTTTAAATAACATTCAGATAAACAAGGATTTACAACTCCTGGGATTTAACAGCAAATGAATCATACCATCCCTTTCAGCACTTGATGGTGGGTTTTGAAATCCAAGAGAAGAGAAAACAAAAGTGTAGGCTCTTCCATTTAGAAATTAATATAAGACATTTTAGTAGGAGATAGAAAGTACATTTCAGTCATAGTAAAATTGGAGTGGGTGACTTCTTTAGGTGGTATAAAGTAGAAGTGAACTTTTTGAAAGGACAGACTTCTTTTATTGGTGTAATAGTTTAACAGCAAGGAAAAGGGCAAAGTGGAAAAAAATTACAGAGTAGGCCTAGAGGCTATTTCAAATACTCTTCTTGAAGTGCAGATGGTATTGAAACCCTAACAATAGAAATTATATACCGTAAACCCTGACAATAGAAATTAAAGTTTAAAAAAGGAGAATAGGGAAAGAAAGGCTACCTATTAAATTCAGACACATGCAATGTCAGGAGTTCTTGTCCTACTTAACTCATTTATGATATCTATCATAAACTGCAAATATACATTTTCTAGAGGATTGTTAAAGTTAAGCTTGCATAGCAACTCAACTTTGGCATATCTTATTTTCGTCTGTTGTCATCGTGTATGGTTTAGCTCCTGAAACGGGCAACGAGCATATTAAAATTGTTTGTTTGTGTTGCACTTTTTGCCCCACTAATAAATGAGCAGTCATCAGAAACTTCACTAGTACGGAAACACTCATGTAGAATAACTGCAACTAACTGATTTGCTCAGGCTATGTAAGGTTAAGAAACAATGTTGCAATCACTGTTGGATTAAAAGTTTTCAAAATTTGAGAAGTGATGTGTAACAAAACGAGAGAAGTATAAATACTGGAGAATAAACTGTTTTGAATTATTTCCTCAGTGCATTCACCCCAAAATGTTGCTGCTTTCAGATGAAGTTTGTTTCCTGCTTGGCAGGGGGTTGGACTCGATGGCCCTTGTGGTCTCTTCCAACTCTATGATTCTATGATTCTATGCCCAGTAAATACAAAATATCAAATTTCAGTAGCCTTGCAATGTGTTAAGTATGTTTTAGTTCGATTAAATCAGCTCACATGGTCCATTATTATTTTTATTTTAGTATTTGCATTTGTTAGTCACTATCAAAAAAGATAGGTGCTCACACCCCTTAATTGTCTAAGCAGCTTGTAGCAATTGTGAAGATAAGCGATAGACAGGACAAAATATGGTTATATGGGTTTAGGACTAGTGCTGATGCTGCAGCTTGATTTCTAAAATTCTGTTAGCATGACTGCAGTGGCTCATTCAAATTAATGGCAACAACATTAGGGCAAATTAAAGGAAATACAACTGCCTGTTCATTACATAATGTCAGTCTGGACAGCTGCGGTTATTTTTCATGGTTTCACTTGCATTAATTCAGGCAGACATATCAATAAGTCTTGCCAACTCTTGCTGCTATGGTGCATTTGTTTTCTCTCTTTATCCCCTTTCCAAACTTCATTCTGCTTCTCTTGCTAATATATGCTCTACATTTTCTATATGTCAGTATTGTGTAATATATAAGTTCCCTATGAGATAAACTTAGATAAGCCAACTATAAATTGTGTGTATTCCTTTTATCCTGATATAAAATATTGCAGATTTTTAGATTATAGGATTTTATATCTATATGCCTGTATACACACACACACACACAGGCACACAAGTGTGAACATTAAACATACTGTGACAACTAAACACCAAACCACAGTTTCCAGACATTAGTCTCCATAGCTTTACTTCTACTTATTTAGTAGAAAACGACAATTGGGGAGCACCACTGTTTATCCTGCATGCCTACAGCCAAAAGCTGTGTTAGCTTTCATTGACATGTGGTTGTGAGAAGCTTAAATTTAAAACATTTGAATGTGCTTTTTTGTTTCTTACTTACTGCTAAACTACAGCTACTTATCCTTCAGTTTGCAAGTGTTTTACAAACTTAATTGCAAGTGTTTACAGGAAAGTCTGTGTTCTTTTTCTTAATTCAGCAGATGGAGAATTTGGCTTTGAGAGTGTTTGCATGTTCTATACTTAGAATAAAAGGTAGTTTTGATAGCTGTTGAGACCCTAATTCAGCTTAAAACTCATCTCCTACTTTTTGGCTATCTATTAATCCTATTTAACAGATACCTTTAAGTCTGCATATGTTTGGAATTTTCAAAACCTGAACTGTGGCTGAAATTAAACTTTCGATAAGCACAAATATAATGATTCTAGATTCAGGTAGATAGCCGTGTTGGTCTGACGCAGTCAAAATAAAAAAAAAATGTGCATGCACATGAAAGCTTATACCCAGAACAAACTTAGATGGTATCTAAGGTGCTACAGGACAATTTTTTAATTTATTTCCACAAATATATGTTCCCCACCTTACAGTCCCCAAACCAACCCTTGTTTCCCTCTCTTTTCCTTCTCCCTACAACCCATTACATTTCTTGTACTAGCAAAATGCTCATATATTTGATGACTTTCAGGAATATCTGTGCAGAGCTTCAGTACATCTTTGCATGCATGGACACAATACACTAGCCAAAGAGTTCCTGCTGGTGACAACTCAGCTACTCCACATCAATGGCAGGTTTATGCCGATAGTAAAATTTCTACCCAAGTACTTTACTTACATATAAAGTAGCTGAAAGTGCCTTACGTTGCCCGGGAAGTCTTAAGAAACCAAAAAATATTTACATTATAATGTGATTTGTAACTTTTAGGGCTGTGCACAATTCCCATGCCAACCCAGGACTCCAACCAGACCTGACTCAGAACTGGCTCTGAATCAATTTCAGGGTGGAGCTAATGATAAATTAAGATTGTTAAAACACTACAGTAATACCTCCGCGAATGTCCGCCTTGTCTAGCGTCCATTCCGACAAACTTCCGCGGCAAACCCAGAAGTACCGGAATGGTTACTTCCGGGCTTGCCGCTCACGCTCACGCATGCACAGAAGCGCAAACTGCTCCCCGTGCGTGCGCAGACGCGGCACTTTGCCCTGCATCCTTTTTGGCTAGCGGCTGGGGCTGTGGAATGTATCCTGGCCACAAAACAAGGTACGACTGTCTATGGTCAAAAAGGGCATGAGGAAAGAAGACGCTACATCTCATTTTCATTTCCTACTGACTTTCCTGCTTAGTGCTGTTCTGCCAACACGTTCCCTGCAGGAAACTTGCTAGTGAAGTGTATAGGATAACCAGTCTCATATAACCAGCATGTTTTGAGTCTAATAAATGTACAAGGGTGTTGATGCCATAGGTCAAGCCGGATGGGACAGCATACTCTGTGTTCCTTCACTTGTTTAACTGGACTTAAGCCCTATGGCTATAAGCAAAGTTTATGAGCACTGTCATTCAAGTAGTATGGGTGCGCCCATGTGATTATGTGGGAAAGTGCTTACTTGCCTCCCCAATATTTTATTCAAGTTGGCACCCATGTCTGAATTCATCCATGAACTGTCAGAGGCTCCTTCAAGCACCTGACGACATAAACATTCATGCTTCTCCTTTTGAAGTTGGCAATTGCCAACTTCTAAGTTTTGCTAGTAGTTAGTGGTTATTTTATACATTAACGTATATAACATTAATGTATAATATTTTATACATTAAATTAATTTATACATTATACTATTACTGATGCGTCCATGTCAGAAAATGACTGACATATGATTATTTTAAAATGAAAGATGGGTTTTCTCCTGCTTTATGATTCCTTGTTAAAATCTGACATGCTTGTTTAACTGAACTGAAGCCCTAAGGCTAAATTTCTAAAAGTCTAAGAAAAATGCAATTGATGGCCACTCACAAAGCAATATAAGTCACTATTGAGAGTGGTTGGTGGAGGGAGTGGGTGTTTGAAAAAAAGGTTATAGCTAAGGTGCAGTTTTCAATCCTCACAGATATTTTATAATGTGGCCAAGTGATTGCTTGTAGGAGTATTTTCTCAGAAGAAAAGGGTGTGAAGCATCTTGGAATGATATTGAGGTCTGTGGGTATGTAATACGCATCTTAGAAAATAGCAACAGAGAGAGAATGGGTTACAAAATGTGAAGCAATTAGGAATCTGGAATCAAATGATGTAGCCTGAGGAAGGGCATTTGTCTGCTTCAGTGAGTTACTGTAGTTGCAGCTCCATCTGCTGCAATGCAATGCAAATTTAACTGTATTTTTCTGAGGTGTATGTTCAAACACAAAAGTTTCAAGATTTCTGGTATAGTAAAATTATCCATTCTGACTTTGTCTTACATTGTCCTAACACTTTCATTGAAAGAAGTGGATTCTAGTCAACAAAATCTTATGCCAAATTAAGTTAATCTCTAAGGTTCCCCCCCTTTTTTTCTTTTTTACTACAGGACCTTAAAATGTGATATATAATGATAGTTACAGATTTAGAGGATATAGCCATTATTTTAATTATTGTCATTCTAAACCTAAATGTAATATACATTTGTTGCAAGCACTCTCACTTAAACAAATGTCACCATCACTTATACTTTTCTAATGGAAATAAAGAGGGCCTTTCTACAATTCCTGGTCTAACTGCACTGGCTACCAATTAGTTTCTGGGCCCAAATCAAAGTGCAGGTTTTGACCTATAAACGGCTCATGACCACAATACTTCAAGGACCGCCTCTTTCCATATGAACCTTCCCAGACCCTGAGATCAGCTTCTGAGGCCCTTCTTCATGTGCTGCCTCCTTGAGAGGTCTGGAGGGTGGCAACACTAGAATGGGCCTTTTCTGCAGTGACTTCCCATCTGTGGAATGCTCTCCCCAAGGAAGTTCGCCTGGCACGTTCATTACAATGGTACCTCGGTTTAAGAACAGTCCTGTTTATGAAGTATTCAGTTTACGAACTCCGCAAAACCGGAAGTAGTGTCCCAGTTTGCAAACTTTACCTCAGTCTAAGTCTAAGAACGGAAACTGAAAGGTGGAAGGGCACCGGCTGGAGGAGGCCTCATTAGGGAAAGCACTCCTCTGTTTAAGAATGGTTTCGGTTTAAGAACGGACTTCCAGAACGGATTAAGTTCATAAAGCAAGGTACCACTGTACATACCTTTAGGTGGCAGGCAACAATGTTCCTTTTTAACCAGGCCTTTGGTTGATTTGATTGACATTCTGTGCCGTTTTAAAATGTGTGTGTGTGTGTGTGTGTGTGTGTGTGTTGGAGGGGGTTATTGGGCTGTTGTTTTTATTTTTATTTTGTATTTTGTGGTTTTATATTCTGATTTCATTCTGTGTACCGCCCTGAGACCTGCGGGTATAGGGCAGTATATAAATTTAATTAATTAATTAATTAATTAATTAATAATTTACAAAAAAGCCAAAAAATACTTCTCAGCTCCTGCTTTCAGTAGTAGCAACTATCTCTCACCTAGTCATTTGACACTTGAGATACATATTTTAGGACCCATCCTTTTCCCTTGATGGAAATCTGTTTTAACTGTTTTTAATACTGTCTTTTAAAATTGTTGTAACTTACCCTGGGACCTCATGGTAATAGGTGGGTAAGAAATTGGAAAAATTCCTCCCCCAAAGATCAGAGGGCCCTAAGGAACAGTGCATTATGAAGTGGAAAGCATTGCTGCTGCTCAAAGAGAAGATACCTGCATCTGACAGCATGCAGAACTGCACACACGGGCTTTTCTGGATGCCAAAACTGGATGGGATTTTGAACACAAAGCAGTGAAATGAGCATTCTAGAGACAGATAAAAGAAAAGAAATGGGTGGAAATAGCTAAGCATAATAGTGGTGTGCACCATTATGTTAACTATAATACATTGCTAATAATCATTGGACTCTGGCAAGGAGGAAATACATCTGTTTTTGTTTGATTTTCTGAATGCATTATAAACACAATAGCATAATTTTGCTTACCTTGCTGCAATTGGTTTCAGGTGCTTCTTGGGGCGAAAGAAGAGGTTTAAGTCCATTTATATCCCATTTTTCTGTCAGCAGATGCTTAAGATGGGGAACAATGTGTAATGGAATACAATATTTTTGAAAAGCTAATTAAATACAGCACCAATAAAACAAACCAAGTGCAGGCTGAAATGGCAGATGAAATACTATATAAAATTAACCACAGTAATTTGACCACTCCTTCAGTAGCAGACGTGTCTTTAAAAGTTGGGGAAAGATGGAGCTCCTGAGCAGAGTTCCATTGTGTGGGCACACCACTATGTTCCTTAGAATCATGCCTCGGGTATAGTGAGCTGCATAAGAGTGCCTCCTTGACTGATCTTGAATGATGGGTGGGTTCATAGGTAGCAGAGTTTCCTTTAAGGCTATGTACACACTACCGTTTACTCTGGCTCCAGTGTGATTCCACTGCTGGTTTTTTGAAGCTATGTACACATGTTGTTCTCCACAGTCCATATCTATCCTGTAGTTTTCTTGAGAAATACTTCTGTTTGATGCATTTGACCTCAAACCTGCTTCCATCCTATTTGAAATTTTAAAGCACATTCACTTCTCCAATGAAACTGAGGTGTGTACATTTAAGTCAGCCATTGCACATGCACATATGATAACTATGGGAATAGGAGCTGGGCAGGGGGGGAGTGGAGGTGCGGGGAAACTGAATGTGCATAGGATACATACATCCCCACCTACTTTATGTTGTGCACAGCAATTTGCAAATGCAACTTGAAATATAGCAGGTGGTGGTGGGTTCTACCGGAATACTGCTATGGGATTGAGGAAGGGGGAAGTAGGCTGTATACCATGCCCATTCTAATTCCTGGGCCCAGCAACTGTTAAAATTTAAGGATTCAAATTCGTGGAATAGCCAGACAATTGATAGCCTAGATAAGGGGCCATTAAGAAACCAAAGGTTTCAGAGAAACAGTTTATGCCCCCTCCAATAGTAATAGCCTAGGCTATTAGCAACCCCTTACACATAGCCAAAAGATTGTGGAAATCTGCTAATTAAAAAGGAGATTGCTTTGCTTTTTCTGGTAGACTTGGCACAGCAGAAGGGACTCTCACTATGCATTTGAAAGTGCCAGGAAGTACGGTATGTGACTAAGTCTTGTTGGAGGAAAGGTGGCAAGTTATGTTGGCTAGGGAGTTTGCCTTTTTAGAGAGACTTACCCTAGAATGGGAGGCTCATGTGAGACAACGAAGCCCTATCTAAAGCAGATGGCAACCCTATTTCATTCTTGTCATTTTTGTTGTACGGGAGTGCACATGTTCAGACAGTGATTCAGAATTTCCACTACAGTGGTACCTCAGGTTAAGTACTTAATTTGTTCTGGAGGTCTGTTCTTAACCTGAAACTGTTCTTAACCTGAAGCACCACTTTAGCTAATGGGGCCTCCTGCTGCTGCTGCACCGCCGGAGCACGATTTCTGTTCTCATCCTGAAGCAAAGTTCTTAACCTGAGGTACTGTTTCTGGGTTGGCGGAGTCTGTAACCTGAAGCATATGTAACCCGAGGTACCGCTGTATTTCCTTGGAATTGGATAGAAAGGAGAAAGAGAGATGTGTATTATCCACATATTTAAACCCCCACATTGGCTCTTCCAGTGGCTTCATGTAGATCTTAAATGACAAAGGGAATAAAATGGAGCCTTGTGTGCCATACTGTAAACAAATGGACGCAACAACCAGCAGAAATCCCCAAGAAATGCCTTCTGAAACCTATCCTCCAGGAAGGACTTGAGCTATTGCTAAGCACTCCAGGAGGGATGCAGTATCAAAACTGTTGAAAAGTTTGACAGAATCAATACTAATGTGACTAATCACTATCACAACCCCATGTCAGAGTAGGGGTAGCACAAGTATGAAGCTAGGCAGGCAGAATAGCCTGGGATTGAGCCTAAAGAGGAGCAGCAACCTTACAATCTTGGCAATAGGTGAACAAATATGTTTTATTCT